AATGAAAAAGAGGCTTCCCTCTCGGTGGGGTTTGAAGATGGGTGGGCTCCCACTCCCAGAGACCCCCCACCCGAGCTGTTGCGGGGGAGTATTTGGGGGAGTTGAAGTCCACACATCTTCAAGTCACCAAGGTTGAGGAACCCTGGAATAGAAGACAGAAAGATGGATCTCTGGAGGGCAGCAGGATACAGTTGCACCCTACAAGAAAGCAAAGAGAAAAATTATAGTGACTTTCTCTTAGAAGGAATTAAAACAACTACATGCTGACTAGACCAACTGACTGGTGAAGCATATTGTCTCCCAGAGCAAAGGTCAGAGAGGTGGCAGAACAACTTATAGAATGGGCCCTTCTTGCAAAGAATAGCTACGATACCACCCATAGACTTTGAAGATCCAGAAATGAAGTTTTTACTCTTGTCAGTGTTCCTTCCCCATTCACAGTACTGTATTTATTTGGAGAAAAAAATAAACTTCCTAAAAAGGATGACATTTAACAGACACAAATGGAAAGCTCATCACTTAAGAAACAAAAATTAAACCACAGTTTCAGGATGGGAAATATCTGGCTTAAAGTTTGCCCTGGGCTAAGGACAGTCCACTAATTGCTTCTTGAGGGTAGAAGTGCACATTATCCTTGACCTACCCCCAGACCACCACAAAGGCAACCTCCCTCTGTCTTTTCTTGCTTCATGTCAAAAGTTGCTGTTTCAACTGTTGCTGGCACAAGTGATGCTGTGTGGTCTACCTGCTGCATTTCATTTCATGGTAGCCAAATGCTTTCAATTGACTACTGTGCAACAGTTGCAGGAATGTTTCCCTTCTGGTCACTGGTTACTATCTTCCACAGCCATTTTGTCCTGGGCCACGTGTTGCTTTCTGTTTGCTGTTCACAGTGCACTTCTGTTGTTGTTTTTTTAAACTGGTACACTTGTAAAATGGAGATTCTGGAATTTTTGTTTGTTTGTTTCATTAGTCCACTGTTGGACATCTTAAAAACTCCAAAGCATCAAATACAAGGGAGAGTCAACAGCAGGCAGGTTTATTCAAAAGATCTCTAAATGGAAACCATATGCCTGCAAAGCCCTGATACATACTGCTTTTGAAGCCCAGGTCATTCGTTCCTATCCACATCCACCAAACATTAGGGCAAGCAACAGGACCAATGTACCACTTAATTTTGCATACACACACACATGCTCCAAAGAAGCAAACCTCCCTCCCTCCCTGTCTTCCTTCCTTCCTTGACAAGAGTTCTGCCAGTTCCCCCAACTGTGATGATGCTGATGCTACCCTGACACTTGACAAGGCATGGCCTGATAAAAATCCTGATTGCATATTTGAACCACTTGAAGCAGTTGATTGTCCCATCAATATGAAAGTGCAGTTCCTTCTTATATCCACCACAATTGAAATCTGGCACTATTTTTCCCCACCTTTCCCACGGCTTACACCTTGCTTTGCATTTCTCAGGCTTCTTGCTAGGAAGCAGCTGATTGTTCGCATAACCAGCATTCCTGCTCTAAGAAACTTGAGCTGAATATGAATCATCAGTGTAATGTGGCTAAAAAAAAGACAAATGCAATTTTAGGCTGCATCGACTGAAGCACGGTTCACAGTAATAGTTCTGTACTGGTCAGCTCCAGCCTTAAATATTGTGACTAGCTGTGGACTACACCACACATTAAGAAGAATTCAGAAAAAACTAGAACAGATATGAAGATTATAATGAGATGATCGGGGAGTAGAAACTATATCCTATGAAAAGTGTTGAAAGAAATTGGGCATGTGTAGCCTCGAGAAAACTAAGGGGGGCGGGATATAATAGTACACTTCAAATATCTGAAAGGATGTCAAACAGAAAAAAGGTCAAGGCCTCTTTGCCATCATTTAGGACATGGATAATGTCTTAAACTAATAATGCTCATAGTATAGGAGATGAAATAATGGATTTAAGGCAGGTTCTAATTAGGAAAATTGAAAAAAAACCCAAAAAACCACTTCCCTACAGGAAATGTACTTCAACAATAGAACCACTCAGGTGATGGGCACCACTTTAGTGCACACGTTCAAACAGAGCTTGCCTGTCAAAAATGCTTTAATTTAGATACCTGCACCAAGCAGGGTTGGACTCAATTCGTAAATGGCCCCTTCCAGTTTGATAATTCTAAGTGCAAACCACAGGCTAGTGTGACCCATGACCAGCAGTCTGACATCCTTTATGGGACACACAAGCATCAAGATTTCAGGGTATGCAAAGAGCACTGAGCTGAACATGGGTGAAACAACTGATCCCAAGAACAATAGTTGAGGGAGATTTTCTTTTCCTAAACAATACAGATTAAGAAATACACACATTCACACTTCTTCATAAGCTTTCCATTAGGACATCTGCCTAAGAAGCCAAGGGTTGAAGGTAAGGGTACAGTGTTGATCCTGACAATGCCCCCTACACCTATGAACATGGCTACACTAGAAGACACAAAATGGAGTTTGAAAAATAAAATAGCCACAAAGCTTAAGTAGAGAACTGGGTATTTTTTGCCTTGCACATTTAGTGTTGAACTTAGCCCAAAAATATCAACACTGTTGTCTGGTACTCTCTTAGATTTGTTCAGTTGGAAAAGTCATTAGAGATTTCAACATGTAGCACTTCCAACAAGCACCTTGAGTACATCTATGTATTTCTCTATCCTTTTTATTCATGCCTTCATCCATGAGAGCTTTAATACCCGTATTAATTCTTTGTAGAAGAATTCAGGTGATGGTGCTTTGGTACTTGAGGATAAAGTAATACTTAACTTTGGAATCTGTGTTTGCATATCTTTCTGAGCCTCAGTTAACTGAACTAACTGGACTGTCTTTTTGTAGCACCAAAGTCATAAATTTGTCAATCATGTTGTAGTCTAATGTGTTCTGCAGTTGCAGGACATGCTTGCCCATCATTAATACAAGCATGTTTTATTCACTCCTATCTGCTGTTTTTATAACAGCAAAACACACTAGGCTAAAATGTACTTGACATGTTTTTGCCTACCAATTTAGACCAAAGTGGCTTAGATTTAAATTCATCTTAATTATTAAGCACACTTAACCACGGTTAACTTTATCATAGTTAACAACTCAATTTTCTTGGCTTCCGTGACACGCTGAACTATAAAGTAACTACACAGGATGAGTTTGCACAACTTGCTAAGCTAAAACTTGTGGGCTGGATTATGGTGTAGTAGCTTTTACATGTCCAGCCATAACTCTTTCTGTGCTAACAGGAAACCACAGGGTAGTCTTAAAAGGATTTTAAATCTAGAAACACTAGAGTCTGTAGCAGGGCTGGCTTTGGGCTAAGGCCAAGAAGACACAGGCCTAGGGTGCCAAAGCTTAGGGGACGCCAAATGCAAATTTTTGCATCAGCAGGAGGTTGTGCCATCAGTCATTATAGCCTAGGGGCACCATATACCTTGACCCAGCACTGGGCTGTAGGGCCACAAAATAGCAGTAAAGCAGTGAAGAAAAAGAGGGTGTTTCATCTTTTGCCAGAAAGAAGAATGTTCTTTGATAATTCATTGCTGGGAACAGAAGAAACGACTTTTTACAGAAAGCTTTGCTTCAACTAAGTCACTGTTATCAACTGTTAGGTGACAGGACTTTGTGGGATTTTAAACACCACCTCCATAAAAATGGAACCTGAAAGCTTCTTCATGCACGAAGCAGTGGGAAGTGGAGTTGGAATATGGCAGAGAAAACCTCTCATACTTTTTTCCTCTACCAGTCTTAATAAAATGGGTTTTAGGCCATATTGCCTGTTTTCTGAGGACATGATAATGAGAAACTCCTACACCCAAGAGATGGTCCAGTAACGTTGTCTTCCAGCAGGCTGGGTTCATAGATGATTACCCATGGTTTATCAGCAAATTACTTCAAAGTGGTTAGCTAGTTTATGGTTCGGTGTAGCACAGAAACTTTGCTTTTGTATCCTCCCAGGGAGACCTGCAGCATAAAGCCAGTCTGGCTTTTTGGAGCAATGAGTTCAAAAGGATGCCAAATGATAACTAACTCTTGATCTTACTACAGAAGAAAAGAGTGCAAATTGGTATCCTTTCTTTAGGAAACTCACTAGGAAGCGTAGCTTAAGAATGCAACACGGCGTATCTTGAACTAACTTGCCTGCCTGCCACGCATTCCACCGCGGCTTCGCGAATCAAGTCCTTAGCTTTCCCTGTTGGATCTTCATAGCGCTTTAAGAGAAGTCTGATCCTTCTAACCCCGCCCCCAAGCTCCCCGGCCGCCTCCTTCAGATCCCATCCCAATTGGCTGACTAGGACATGAATATGTATGTCCTGACCTGTGTGAATGAGGCGCTGCGCCCTCCCTCACCGCCGCACAGAGAGGCTTAGGGAGCGCGCGGGACCTCGCGGAGCAGTTGCTCTTCTTGTCGCTCGCCGGCCGTGTCGCGCGGCTCTGGAGCCGGCGTGGTCCTGCCGCAGAGCCCAGGGAGCTCCTTGCCTCCTCGGCGCCGTTGCCAGCGTCTTCCTCCTGCCAGGCACGCTGCTTCTCAGCCGGCCCCGTCTCCACGCTCCTGCTTGCGACGCCTGCCGAGGAGATGCGGGGCCTGTCCGGATGGATGGCGCTGCTGGTGCTCGGCAGCTGGTTCCGTCTGCGAGCGAAGGGCGCCGCGCCGCTGGCTGGCTTTTACCCCTTCGGGCCGGCGCAGGGGGACGCGGCCACCCCTCAGCAAGACGACGGCGGCTCTGGGCTCCGGCCCATCGCCGTCAAGTTCCCCTTCTTCGGCGCGACTCACACGGCACTCTACGTGAGTAGTCGTCCCGTCGGTGCTAAGGAAAGTGCGGGCACCGCCGCGCGGGACTTTGCCCATCTCTACGGTTCCTTAATGAGAAGTAGTATGCTTAATGCAGAGTAGTAATGCATTGACTACATGCATCATCCTTAGCCCGGGGTAGTCCTTTATAAAACATATTTTAGTTCTGAGTATTTATTACCTGCCGTGCTTGCCTTTGGGGAATTTGTTCCCATGATGTGGCGCCTGCAAGCCAGGTTGCACTACTATGTCAGATGCTTGCTTTTTGCTTCATGCACCAGGATGCTCTGTCTTCAGAGCGTTGGGGCCCAGTCCTAAGTGTCTTTATAAATATATGTACCTGAAGACGATGGATTTTACCCTTAACTGTAGTGGTTCAGACCTCAGCCTTTGAACCACTCTGGGCCCAAAGCAAACTCTGATCTTAACTGACTACCTAAAGGTTAGGGCTGAGGGCTGATAAAGTTTAAATATCATATCGATGCTGGCTACCTTCTCCCCACACCCCTCTTCTCCTATTGAAGAGGATGCTAGAAAGATAATGATTCTTTCTAGCATCATTTCATAAGGGTCTTATGAAAGGCTACATATCAATCTTCCCTGATTTGCAGATGAATGGTCATGAAAGGTGTAGTATACACATTGGAAAAGAAAACAAGCTAGGGAAGCTGCTGAATTCACACAGAATCGCTCCTATTAGCAGCCAGTGTTTTGACTAACTTTTTCTAAGACTGCTTAGCTGAACTTGGCTGATCTTGAAAAACTAAGTAGGGCCAAGTCTGGTTAGTAGTTGGATGGGAGACCAGGAGGAAGTCTCAGGGCTGAAAGCTGAACTGGGATTTTTAAAAAAAGTTCTGGGAAAAGACAGTGGCAAACCACTTCTATAATGATGCCAAGAAAATTACACAGATGTGTCCATGAAGCCACCTTTATAATTCCTGTATTCTCCTTTTCCCTTCATTATTCCCCACCCCACATTGTTGAAAGGCAGACCACATAATCAGAAGCTTATTGAGGCTTATGGAAGGATGGAGGGGAAAAAAAAAATCCTTCCATAAATGTCCTTAATGTAACTTATCCTACAATCAATATCTCCAGCATCCATTGTTTCTTAGGCTTCAGATTTATGGCTTTTAAATGGAAGGCTGGTCTTGGCCTCTGCAGTCTCCCTGAAAATTCTTGAAGGATAGGGGATCCCCACTCCAATTCCATAAGAACTCCAGTCTTCAGTGTTAGAAATGAATAACTTTATCTGCCTGCTAAGATTTTTGTCTCTGCCTTTTTTTGTTATAAAGTCACTTATATTATTCCAAAACCATCTGGATTTACTTGGGGACAGTCAAACAGTCTAATTTAATTTAAGGCATCAAAGCTGTAACAGGATGTTGAGAATCGGAGTGTCTTTGCTGTATTAGGCAATTATACTCTGCAGCCAAGGCGGCATAATGGCCTAAATATTTTGGGTTCAAGGAAAATCATAACATAGTCTTTCCAAATTCTTCTGCTACCCAGATTCATGTAACTTGAGATTCTGTGAATTTGAGATGATTTGCACTCCAGTGTGATACTTAGGATTGTCACTTTCTCTGTTTTTTCCTCATCCACCAATGTTCCTGCTATTTCCACCTCCTAAGTAAGCCTTCACTGTTATTATTTTCATATTAATAGTTCCATATTGGGTAGAATCAAATCAAGGATAGTTAATCTTATTGTCTTCCTCCATTGTTTGACTGTTTTCTTTTACCTGCCATGGTAGGAAATAGGAAATTCTTTTGTGGTGCTGATCAAGCAAAACTTAATTTCCTGGACAAAATAATGTATGTTAACATTACTTCTGCTGAATCTGTTACTGCAACAATACAGTTGAGTAGCCTCAAGAGATGTCTCTTGCTTTGTCAGGAAATAGGTCAGTGAAAGAGATTCCTTTGGATAAGTCAACCCAAGTCTTGGGTTCATTGTGATGCTTTAGTCAGTCTGCCAACAGATACTGTTTTTGTCTTGCTTTTGTGATATGTGCCATAATCACATACGGCAAGCAAATTGATTTCTTGTTGTTGTATTTACATGTACACACCCAGGAAGTATCCCAATCAGTGACAGCTATCAGGTTACATGAAATTTGCGTGCATTTTAAAGTCCAGAAGAAATACATTGTTCATTCATTCTCCTACATAGAACTGATAAGTGTACTCAAAATATATTTTTGTAATGCTGTATTCACAGTTGTTGCATGGCAAAATGCACTGAAATGTAATAGTTTAGCTATCCTCAGATCACTGTGAATTACCAACTTGTTGGCATTTCCTTTATAAATATATTTGCTTACAAGGATAATTTTTGAAAAAGTTCCTGCTTGAAAGATGAGTTCAACTGGAAACTTTCTTAGTTGACCCTCCTCTTATGCTCGTTAAAACATGGCAACATATTGAGCATTATAGGGTTGGTTCAGAAATAGCTTATACTCTTATATAAAGCTGATGTTCAATTTTGAGTGCCAAACAGAACGTTTGGTCTTGTCCTTAGCCCTTGTGCTGAATCTTTGAAATACAGCATGAGACCATGAACAAACCAAGGCACTTCTTCTAGTCCTCTCACCACCCAAACCCAGAGATGAGTGATAGGGAAATGCTGATATACTCTGACAGGCGACTGGCAATCAAGTCAGCAAGTACAGAGGCACCCATGGCTGAGAAAGACGTAGGAATATCTCTCTTTTTTCATTCTGTAATGAAAGAGAGGATGCAATTTCCTGTGAGCAATGATTTATTTTGCTTGATCCATTTTGTTTACAGCTTCTCTGATCCCTGTTTTGGTGGTTTTGGGATAGCATTGCAAGTAGATCAAGCAAAATAAACCAGCACATAAAGGGGGAAAAGGTGTTATCACTGGTTGTTCTAGATGACCCCTTGCTAATTTGAATTTGTCAGCTCCAAAGAGCTTGATCTTCTCTCAATTTTCCAAACAGTTTCAGAGCTTTATCTGTAATGTTCCACCTATAAGTGGGCATATATTAGTTTGCCTGATAATGCACCACATTTGCATTTTACAAAAGCATAGAGGTGGAAGGGCCAAAGGCCTCCAAGAAGTTATAAATCACTCTTTCCCTTCTCAGAGTCTTAGCATTTTAAGATGGTAGAATTATTTGGTAGAATGAACTATAGATAAGAGCTTATGATTTTTAAATATTTTCCTACATTAAAAATTAAGTTGCAGTTGGGAAATTCCCTGTTCCATGGTTTTAAAATGTGGCACAGCATTCAGAAGCTTCATCACCTCCATCTATAATCTGAAATAGAACTACATTTTATAATCTCAGTTTTCCACCAGATTCTTTACTAATATTTCCAAAATTCAGAGGTGAGTGGACAATCTTTTGAAAACCAAAACACTAGCAAATTTGGGGAACCCTAGGGCTTACAAAAGGACAAAAAAAAAAAAGCAGGAAGCAGTTTGATTCTAAACTGATAGCTGGCACACTATTACCAAGGAAGAGCTCACTAGTTTTATTCATAGGGGTCACACAAATTCATTGATTGTTTTAGGAGGTCACAGCAGTGATGGAGCTTACATATTGCACTGGTTTAATGCAATATGTAAACCCTGTCATTCTATCTACTAAAAATGTAAGTCATTGCTGTGCATGCAATTTGGGAAAAACTGCCCCACTCTAACTGGTTAAAAAAGTTTTTTGTAAGATAATAAAGGAAGTTCAATAAACAGCTGTTTTCAGCTACCAATACTTCAGCAGGATTCTTGGATGAAGCTTTGTCATTTAGCAGATTCTACATAGGAGAGCTACTAAAGGGATTAGAGTAATTGCCTCAAATCAGGTGTGCTTTGAAGTGTTGGGACTACAACTCCCAAAACTGCATGCTGAGAGTTGTGGTCTAAATTCATCTGGATAACATCTAGTTGAGGACATCTGGATTAGGATGTCACATCTGGACTCAAGGAAGACTTGAGCTCAGATTCAACATAAACAGCAGGTGTTAAGAAAGTTATGAGGTTGGAACGTTAAACTAGGATGGGGAAATGCAACTTCAGATCTATACTCGGATGTGATGCTTAGTGGGTGATCTTGAGAGAATGACTTTCTCAAATCCTAACCTGTCTTGCAGAGGGTGGTGGGAATAAAGTGCAGAAACTCCTTGGAGGCAAAGTGGGATTGGAAAGCAGTGAAGTAAGCACAATGCATGCCCAAATGCATATTCTGGGAGAATTAAGATGCTCCAGTTTGGTTCTGGCAACTTGAGAAATTTTAAAAATGAGTTGCTTTTTTTCAAGTTTTTAAAGTTTAGCATTATTTTGTAGATCCTGTCATAAAGCAGATATCACCATCACTAGCCTTGTGATTGAATCAAATCAGGTAGGAAGAAGAAAGTCACTGGTTTAGTATTTGATCTGGGACGGAAAACCTCACAAATAATGGATATTGGAATAGACAATGGATGTGTAAGAAGATGTAAAACCAGGACTGTTTGCAGGGGGAAAAAATGGAATCAGTGAATTATTATTTGTGACTTCTCCATTGAAATGTGTACTGTATTTTTAACTTGTTGCAATAATACAAAAAGTATTTGAGGCTGAGAATTTTGTCTGTAGATAGAACACTGGCTAATTAGGCAAGGTTAACTTATTAGTTGAAAATGGCCATGATATGTGTATATCAGTGAGTAAACTTCATTATGGTCATTGATTATAGAGGAAAATAGAAATAAAGTTGGCAAAGTTATGCAGGAGCCATTAGCTGATAAAAGAGACAGTAAACAATATCTCAACTCTGGAAAAGGAGGGAATGTGAGAAAGAGACTCAAAATAATGATATAAGAGGGCAGCAGGAAACTCTGGCAGGCTTTCAAGATACTGTTATGACACCCTACAACAGTAAAGTGGAGTTCCAGTAATCCTTGCAGCATCTGTTTCCTAATCTGGCCTCCCTGAAACAATTATTGAACTGTTATTAACCAGTTCAAAAAAGATGATAAATTCTGAGA